AACTCACATTGAACTCAGCATGATTTACTTCTGAGCAGACATGCACTGGGTTATCCTGTTAATAAGGTATAACTTTTCAGGTGAAAAAGGGCAATTAAAAAGCTGCATTTTAACTGCACCTTTCATATTTTGTATGTATTTTTTTGGTAATTCTCATGAATTCAGCATCATTATCCATACCGTGGCTAGTATTGTCCCCACACTGAGTGCAGATGGAAGACTAAGGCTGAAAGAAAAAGATAATGTATACACAGCTGGATGGATGGGAAACCACTTTCATAATGAGAGCATAGAAGGCCTGCTCCCATAGCGATCCAGGGGTGCTGCCTGAATTTTTCAGCCACTCTATTAAGTGCATAGCCCTGCCCCTCCCTTGCAGACCTCACAGATGGACCCTAGTGGAGGTGGTGGTGAAGAGGGATTGTGATTTCCCACATTGAGATCCCAAGAGAAGAGTACTAAAGGTTCAATTGTGTTGCCTAAATGTCCTGGCAAGCCCCATGCTAATATTTTCCAAAAGGTTAGAAGAATGGGGCCAAGAACCATCAGTGGTGGGAGCAGGAATTAGGGAATGGCCATGGTACTAGAGAGAATGAATGATTGAATTAATAACCCTTCCAATATATACATGCATAGAACCCACAGAGCAGTAGGTAGAAAAAGAATGACAATTAATCTCCTCTGCCTCAGGGGAAAAGTCAATGCCATTCACAGAGTCTTACTTAACAGAGCACAGCCGGGTCTTTTCCAGAAATGGGAAGTTTGTACAGACGCCTTCTGTGCTGTCCTCTCCTGCATCCAAAATGATGTACTCCTTCAAGCAGTACAATCTACGATGTGGCAATCAGTGGGGAGGAAAAGATGCAGGGGCTCCCCGGAATGTCTACATCTGACCACGCAGCATGTGCGTGCTTGCTCCAGAAGAGTTTAGGATAGTGATTGATGATGGTGTTGCTTGCAGTGGAGGGTCAGAAGATTTGGAGCTAGCCATAACAGAGAGATCTGGAAACATTCCAGTATCCAGATGTTCCGTTTCTCAGAGAGCTGGCAGGCGAAGGAGGCTGAGAGTGGTAGGCTGGTCACAGCTGTCTAGGCTTTCTGAAAGACATTTGCAAATCCCTAACGCTGAAGAAGAAACTGAAATAAATGGTCTGTAGTTTCACTTGAAACCTTTGAATAAAGATAGAGGTCCACAGTAAGAAAGCAACCATTCTTGCAGTCTCCAGGGACAAGCTAATCTACACATCAGGCTCATCATTGCTAAGGCATTGTAACCCAAATAGATTTCTGGAATACCAAGAGCAATTGATTATGTATTCTTTCATTATTAAGCTTCAGGCGTTAACCTCGAGGCAAAATCCGGAGCTGGTGTCCAAAAGGCAGTTCGTTTCGTTCTGCCAACTCCTGCGACGTTGCTGGAACCAGTTGTATTGGCTCTTGCCTTTCCATTGGACCATTTCAGCAATGTGGAGAGGGGGGATTTGCTGCTTGGGTAACAGCCTGTCCTCCATATTACTTTAAACAGGCTTCACGCTCTGGAGACTACACTCCTCGATATAGAACTTGTTACCATAGTCTCTCGAGACTGAAGGATGCCTATGAATTATTAAGCTATCTATATTACACTCTGTGGTGAATAACCTTAGCATAATAATTGCATGCTACAGTATTAAGTCAATTCTGACTTATGCTGACCCTTTCCAGGGTGTGACCAGCAGAGAAGATACAGAAATGGTTTGCCCTTCCCTTCTTCTGGGGACACCCTGGGACTGGGTAGCTGGCCCAAAGCCACACAGGCTGGCTCTTCTCCCAGGAGGCATAATGGGAAATTGAACTTACAACCTCTGGCTCTGCAGCCAGAAACCTAACTCATTGAACTAACTCAGCTGGATAATCTTAAGGGAGGGCACAAATGAAAATGTTGTTGTTGTTTTTTAAAAATGTAACACTTTAAAATACTTTTGAATTATTTAAAATAACTAAGAGTAATTTTGAAGCACATAAGATCATCTAGAACCATTCAAAATCTTTTGAACCATAGGCACTATTCCAGAACTCCATAATGCCGAGTGTGACTATAGGATTCTGGTAGCTGTAGTGCTCAAAGCAAATATTTCCCATCTCTGATCACTATGCTCCCAATACTCTGATGGAGCAAAATTTTAATTGGATGTCAAAATGAAGGCAGTATCAGCCCCAGCCAAGCCTACAAAATGAGGACATTCCACAACAAAGATGTCGCAACAGAAATTCCCTCAGTGCTTAATGTGGCAATCATTTATTTATTCATTTATTTTATTCATTCAATTTATACCCTGCCCCTCTAGACCGTGTCTACTCGGGGTGGCTTACAAAATCATAAAGTCAGTAAATAACAATAAAAACATCACAATCAAAATTAAACAACATTCATAATCATAAAGACATTTGAACAATAATATAGCATGATCAAGATGGGGAATACAAGAACAGAAAGATAGAATTCAGGAACTGACATGAGGGAAAACCTGCCTGAAGAGCCAAGTTTTTAAATGGCTCTTAAAAAGACCCAGCGAGGGAGCCAGGCGGATCTCTGATGGAAGGGCCACTGCCAAGAAGGCCCGGTTTCTTGCTCTTTCTTTCTGGGCCTCTCTCGGCGTTAGGCCCCTCAACCGACCCTCCTGGCTATGCCGAGTAATTTGGGTAGATCTGGGTAAGAGATGGCGAGGCCCAAACCATTTAGGGCTTTATACATCATCCCGCTAAGAAGTTTGGCCACCACGTTCGGCACCATTTGAAGCTTTCGCATCAAAGGTAGCCCCACGTAGAGCGCATTGCAGTGGTCTAATCGCGAGATTATGAGCGTGTGGACAAGAGTAGTGAGGGACCCCCCTATCAAGGTAGTGTTGCAGCTGGGCGATCCGCCACAGATGAAAATAGGCGGAGCGGGCCACGGACGCCACCTGGGTTTCCATGGTAAGCACCGGGTCCAGATGTATCCCCAAGCAGCGGACCTCACTCCATGTGGTGAGAGACACACACACCCAAAAAAGAGAGGGATCCTCCCAAAATGCCAATGGGGGGGTTGATCATATGGGATCAACCTTGGCCCTTTTTTTGACTGTGCCTAATAAAGCCACACACACAGCCCCAATCTTTGGCTTTGAGGCCACTTTGAGGAATAGTTGATTGTGGTGATCAGTGTGTTTTTTGTTGTAAGTGTATTGTTGTAATAAGAGGGAGAGATTATCTTCAAGAATACATTAAAAGAAAATGTTTATAAAATGTTTTACAGATGGTACATAACACTAGAGAAATTACCCAAAATGTATAAAATGTATCCAATGAATGCTGGAAATGTGAAGAGAAAGCAGGGAGGTTTTTTTCATATACAGTGGTGCCCCGCTAGACTATTATCTTACAAAACAACAAATCTGCATGACGATGAGTTTTGCGATCGCTAGAGCGCTTCACAAAACAGTGTTTCCTATGGGCAATTTTCGCTATACGATGTTTCAGACCGTGCTTCATAAGACTTTTTTTGGACCTATTTTCGCAAGACGACGATTTTAACAGCTGATTGGCGCTTCGCAAAATGGCTTCCCTATGGGCGATTTTCACAAAACAATGATGATTTGTCCCCATTTGAACTCATTAAACAGATTTCAATGCATTCCAATGGGGAATCACATTTCACAAGACAATGTTTTCACAAGACAGTGATTTCAATGGAACGGATTAACATCATCTTGTGGGGCACCTCTGTATGGTGGATATATGAAATTGTACAGAAAATTGTACAGATTAAAATTGCTTTAACACCAGGGAGGTTTTCTATTGAACATGATGTCACCCAAAATTGTAAAAAAAAACAAGATTTATTTGATTTTACATCTGATAACTGCAGCAAGAATTTTGTATGCTAGCAATTGGAAGACCACAAAGTTACCGACAAAGGAGGAATTTCTTGAGAAGATTCTAGAACTGGCATAAATTGACATCTTGACAGACACACTAAATGACAAATAACAGGACTGGAGAAAAACAAATGGGAACTGCTTTACACATGGATTAAATCTACACCGACCCAACTAGAATAGATTAGATCAGTATTACAGTGGTGCCCCGTATAGCATGTCAATCCATTCCAGAAAAATGTCGCTATCCGGAAACGTCGCTATGCCGGGGGCAAAACTCCAAAGGAACATATTAAACTTCATTTAATGCGTTCCTATGGGGACAAAACTCACCGGTAAGCGAAGATTCCCCATCTGGCGGCCATTTCCGCCACCTCGATAAGCGAGGGCAGGGCGCGAAAACGGAGCGGGCGGCCATTTTCTTCCGGCAGCCATTTTGGAACCGCCAATCAGCTGTTCTGCAAACATCGCAATGCAAAGATCAGTAAGCAAAATGCTTACCGATCATCGCAATGCGATGTTTTGCCACCTAAAACATCGCAATGCGATCGCGTTAGCAATCGCAAAAAAAACGCGTCGCTATGTGGATTCATCGTTAAACGGTCCGGTCGTTAAGCGAGGCACCACTGTATGTTAATTAGAATAAGATGAGATGAGATGAGTTCTATACAATGTAATAAACCTCTGATTGCAACAACACATAGAGAAGTAGGGAAAAACACAATAAAATATTTTAAAAGTCTTTTTAAAAATAAAATAAAATTATAGACATATAAGAAATATAGGCAAAATTAAAACCAAATTAAAATGTTAAGATAATTAGATATTTTTGACCAGAAGCAGGCTACTTCAATAGTGTTGTCTCAGCTGCCTTCAAATGCAGCTTAGTGTCAAGATATTTGTAATGGAGCTAAATTCACCATATTGTAAATTAAAGTCTTGAACATATGAAATGTACTCATGTAACTAAAATATGTAAGAAAGACTTTATGTAAAGAGCTAGGATACACCTGTTGCTGGTTAAACGGGCAAAGTCAGAGGCTTTCAAGCGAAATCAAGTAGGTTTTGCTGATTACAGAGGCTTTTTTTCTGTATAAAGGAAGCTGTGGGAAAGCATTGCTTTACTGCTGTAATAAAGGGGTTGTTGGGTTGCTCTGGTATAGAAGAGGTCATGCTGTGTTATACTGGATTGTGAGTAACCAGTTAATGTATATGCTGTTATGTTATCATGTTATGCTCTATATGGATAAGCTGTTTAAGTTACATCTGTAGAGTATTTTTCTAAACTAAGTTTGACCTGTCTTAAGTTTTGCATCCAGAGTTAAACAAAAAGCACTGAATTCTGTTAAGTTTCCACCAGTTCTTTCCAGGGAGCCACATTCTTTCGTGAATAAGCTTAAAATGCTTCTGGTAGTACATATTTATGAACACATGTTCAAAGTATAGCAGCTATACTCTAAACACTTCTCTTGGAAATGTGTTGCGGCATAAATTGCATGCCTATGAGTGCTACATTGATTGAATTTCTCTGCAGTCATAGGACATTTGTCCTGTATCCAGGTAACCCTGCTTTACTTGATTATTCTTTGATCTTCCTACTTAGCTTCAGAGTTTTGAATTGACTTCTAGATGGTCCAGCTAGCATCTTGTCCTGGTGGGAGACACTTTTTGGACTTCATCCATTCAGCCAGGTATGGTGTTTTTGTCCTTCATATGTTTTGCCTAGACTCTTTTGGCTTAATATTTAGAAGCTGGGACATGTGCAGAAAACTGAATTTTAGCTGTTGTCTAGGGATTTGGTATCCCTGGATGGCTTTGGTGCTGCATTACTTTATTTTGTTCAGTCTGTGCTAGCACCTCTCATCATATGTCTGGAGGGGTAATAACAGTCATCCAGTGATTAGGAGTCCGGGATTAATCATATGAGCAAAGAGGGTGGGCTAGACTTGCCCTTACCGTCATAATCTTCAGCTGTATTCAAAGTATGGAAGGTGACCTTCTGAAGAATAAAATTTTCTTTATCCATGGATGCTCTCTGGAATTGGGAATGGTGATGTTCCACGTGCAGAGGGCAATCAGCAATTGCAACACTGGGAGCAGTGCCAGATTAATCTCCTTGGTCATGAATTACACACTCGGAATCCTAACACTTGAACAGGGCTTTTCACTGTAGAATCATGTCAGCCCATTGGGAAGGGAAGAATTGACCAAGCATTTATTACTTTATTTGAATTTGCTATGTCTAATTTCTTTTATTTCTCTGTAGTTATTCAGTAGAGTGACTTATTTCTTCAGTCCCACCTCCTTACTCTAAGCAAGCGAATGATAAAGAAGCCTCAGTGATCAGTGAATTCTAGAATAGAAATTCCCAACTACATAATCAGCTCAGCTCATTGACAAATAAATCACTGAGGAGGCACATATATCTCGCTTCCAATGTTCAGCTCCTATGTACAAAAATGCCTTTCTTTCTACCCCAGAAGCACTGTTACCAAACAGGGAGACCTCCCTGAACTGAAGTTTCCCAGAACAAGCCAGAATAAATACTCTATGCTAAATTATCCTAAAAATTATAGCAATCTGCACTTATGACCCAAAGATGGAAATATTTCCAAGCAGCTGATGAACACATTAACTATTGTGTATCAAAATTGGCGTGCCTGACCCCATTGAGCTCCACTGGGAGTATTATGTCCCAATATTATGAGCAACTCTTGATACACAAGCTTATTAGAGGAGAGGTCAGAGACCGAGCTCTAATCACTGCTTTCAGAAGTTATGCAAAGAATGTAGGAAGCAACCATTTTAAGTCAAAGGTTGGCTTCCTCATGATTCCAACTGTACACAAGATCTTTCACAGAGGGGCTCCTGAAGGTATCCCTTCAGTTTGTAGGAAGGTGGATGGCTACAGAGAGGGACCTTTTCAGTAGCAGCCCTCAAAGGTGGTATGCTTTCCCCAGAAAAAAAAAAAAAGGTAGGAAAACTTTACAAGATGAAATCAGAGTTCACTGTGACCTTAACAGACTGGGAAATTGAAAAAACAACAAATAAAATTATGGCCACAAATTTTTGCATAGCATTGTAAAATTGCACTAAAAATGGCCTAGAATAGACCATTGAGTCCTTGGGGATTTCATGAGCCAACTTCTCAATAAATACCCAGAGTCAAATGGGCCTATTCTACTTGTGGCTTATTTTGCTAAAGTCATAGTTAGAGTAGGCTCATTGAATCAATGGAACATACAGAGGAACTTGACTTACTAAATTCCCATTGATTCAATGAGTCATCTTTAGTATAACTTGCTGCATTAAGCAACTGGATTTTTGCCTTCATTTCAATAGGGATAAAAGTACAGTGTTGCATTTGGTCCAGAAAATCAGATGGACAACATAAGATGGGTGACATCTGGCCTGGCAATATAGTTTTGAAATGTATCTGGGGTTATAGTAGATTACAGGCTAAGCATGAGTAAACAGTGTCACGTGCTATCAAAAAAGGCAAATGCAATACTAAGCTGCATCAATAATAAAATAATAGTATCATTCTTACTGTGTTTGGTCAGATTTCACCCAGAGTACTGAGCCCAGTACTGAGCAATATCAAGATGTTAGTATGTATCAGGAGGAGTGGGACCAAGATGGTAAATAGTCTGGAGACTAAGATGTGTAAGGAATGATTGACAGAGCTGGCTATGTTTAGCCTGAAGAAAAGATTGAGAGGTGATATGACAGTTATCTTCAGATATCTGAAAGATGGGGCAGCTTGTTTTCTGTCGCTTCAGAGGATAAGGCCTGAGCCAATGGCTTCTAATTACAAGAAAGTAAATCCTGACTAAACATTAGGAGGAGCTTCCTGTGGGTAAGAGCTGTTCGGGACTGCCACAGACAATGTCAGAAAATCCTTGAGGTTTTTTCTAACTCTGTAATTGTATGATTCTAAGCAGGTGCTCAATCTCTTCCATACCAGCCTACTCTCCATTCTACTTGGACTTTTCCAAAGAGGGCTTCCAAATGTATTATTGTAAGCCAAGAACAGGCAATTATTCCTCACCACTGGCTCAGCTGACTAGGGCTGATGGTTCTTCTAGACAAACACACATGTGCATATGAAAGGCTACAATGGGCCATCTTTATTGAAAGGGCTAGGTGGGGGGGGAAGGAGAGAGAGTGAGTGAGTGAGAGAGAGGAGGGGTTGGGAACAGAAACACAGGAGGAGAAAAGGTTGAATACTTCAAATTCCCAAAGCTGACTTTGTTTTGTTTTAGCAGTAGCTCTCTGAAACCAGGATCATTGGTTGACATCTTGATTTGTGCCACATACTCCAGCACTTCCTTGGTGGCACTCTAATGGAAAACATTAGAGACAAAACCGTCTCTAATGTTTTCCACTTGTGAATAATCATCCTCACTATAGAATGATGGACTTGAAATTGTTTGGAAATGGATTTATAATCCTTCCCAGATTGATGGGCCACAATAATTGCTTCTATACAATCATTGCTGATGTTTTTCTTCATTGACATTGTGTTCACACACACCTGAATACTCCAGACCGGCAAACTGCTAAAACTTTGGCTTTTATAGAAGTGGTCACGCTTGCTGATGATCAGTTACTGAAGGGCATTTGGTTAGCAGCACCTGGCTGCTTCTTAGCCTCTTAACTCCTATGGAAGCAGTAAGAGTGTACTTAGTTTTTCACACATGGCTTTTCCATTTTGGCATTATTTTTGTAAGATAAATCATGACATGATGTAATATAACTTCCTTGGTGGCACTGCTGTAGCCATCAGCTTTCTCTCCACTCAATTTTCCGCAGCCTCAGTGGTAGCGGATGTGATATAATACGCCAGGAACCTTTATTTGGCCTCCAATTTTCAAAGCAAAACATTGAAGTATAATCTACAAGACACAAAGGAATATTGGATGAAAAGTCGTGATGTTGGGCAGATGGCCTGTCCTTCTGTGGCATATAAAAACTCTTGGCAGGGGAAGGTAGAGTGGGTGAAAGTGATGGCATATTCCACCTACCCATCCTATCCTCATTCCTTGAATCTGGGGGAAACAAGGTGGTTTCCAGCATTCTCCCATTGCTCTGATGCCTTGCATTTATGACAGGTGATGACTCAGGCAGAAACCAGCAGGTCCCTCCAATATTGTACACAACATAGTTGGCTCAGTGCCACACCTCAGGAACAACAATTTGGCTTATTCTGAGTGAGGGAAATTTAACAGCTTTACTGAAGCTTGACTATCTGTGAAGTGAATTCTTAAATAGAATTTAAAAGGTTTGACAGGTGCCTACATAGAAAGAAGGAGCAGAAAGCCATGAATAATGGTTGACTCAGGTGCTGTAATGTATCAGCTCTTCCTCACTCAGAAATTAGGCCCAAGTGGCTTCGCATCAAATAGAAGCCTGTGTTACAGAAAGAACAAGGGTGAGATTGATACATATTTAGTTTTCAGTTTTAAAGATATGAAGACATAGTGTGCAGAATTACAAGGTTAGTCTTGGAGCTGAGCCTAAATTTTGTATGTCCTGATTTCCCAAATATAAAAACCAAACTAACTGCAAAGCAAATCATCAAGCAAACAATAAACCATATATACATGACTGGCCTCTTCACTAATTGCCCGCAGCCTCAGTGATCACGAAGCACCCATAATCAAAGCAGCTGCGAATAATGCACAAAATGGTATTAGAGGGGACTGACTGGTGGTAAGAAGGTGTAAACGGAAGACTTGGATTACTGCCTGGCAGCTACCCCCAAATCAAGACTAATGTTCTTGAGTTTGTTTCTATGCTCAAACGAGGGAGTGATGAGAACCCACCAGACCTTTTTAACTTGTTAGATTTTGGCCAAGTTTGTTGATGGCAACAAAACAATGATAGTTGTCAAAACAAAACAAAAAAGGTTCACAGAGGATCTCTGACAAGATCTCTGCAAATGATCTCCAAGATTTCTCATTTGATTCACTGAAATGGGCAATGCTGTTTGATATAAAATTGCAAAATACAGTAATTCATGGCAGAGAGAGAGAGAGAGAGATCCCAATGTTGCAAACATGCTGGTGGTGTCTAAGAACTACCCATGATGGTTCTAGCCAGAATAAGGGCTTTCTGGACCTGAAGAGGACAGCTTAATAAAAGCATTGACACAGTATATTGTGCTAAGAGGAATCACTGGAGAAGGAATAAAAAATAAAACTCTCAATATCATTATCACCACTCTACAAATCTATGATTTGACTACACTTGGAATAAGACAGTTCCAGTCAACAGCTAAGCAAGCAAATTTCCTTTTCAACTGAAAAAATGGTGAGTAATGTGCAGGGGAGAAAATAGTTCAGGGGGTCCCAAGTCATCCTTGTTGGAGGAATTCTTCAACAGAGCCATGACAAACGGGTAGGAATTGCATCCTATACCTGTCATTTCTTTGTGGGAAGATGTACATACATGGTCCATATTCTTCTACACACACACTAATAGTTCAGGAAGTAGGACATGGGATAAGAAACCCCACATCTTCCTCTGGCAAGTCTACAACATTCACATTGGCTCAAGGATGGAAAGGGAGAGGATAGTACAACATCGAGATGGGTGTTAAACTTGCTGTCTCACATATGTTGGATTGGAATAATCTTGGAATATGTAAAAAGAAACCAAAAATACGAAAACTATGAAAAACGGTCAA